TTTCAAATGAACGGGCTCATGGCTGGATAGGAAAACCCAGAGTTGACTGAACTAGTTGGTAACCAGCTTTGTCGTACCAGTTATCAAGATGTCCAATGTTAGGGTTAGTCAGACCGGGTAAAAAAAAAAGATATCCTGGGTAAGTTTAACTGGCTTTGTAATACAGGCCTCTGGATCAACATAAACAAGTTATTCAGAATCAATATGGCAGTGATGGTCATGGATCAACGCGAGCACTGCAATCCTGCAAAAAATAGTTCTGAAAAGGCTATTAGAAATGAGGGAAAATGTGTCCCTCACAGTTTTTTGCAACTGCAAAATGACATCATCCTTACTCTTAATGAACAATATCAGGGTTGCAAACTTTGGTCAGAGGGCCGGAGTGAGATTTTAGCTTGTGACGTAACGTCTGCTCATGTGGTCATGAACGTATGTGGACACAGCGGCACGTTTTTTTGTTGTTTTTTTTATCTTAAAAGAGTTAATATGCACAGCACGGACCTGCACGGAGTGTGTAGAAGAGCAGCTGCAAAGCTGGGCGTAGTGTGGCCAGAAACCCCCGCTGAGACCACCACGTCTCGGTACAAGGGTAAACGGCTGCCTAAAGCCAAATCCTCTGCAAGACAGCTTCTGCCGGTCTTCCATGAGTGCCTGGAAGAGGCGACCCGGTCATGGAGCAATCCTCTCACTGCCAAAAACCCCATCCAAGGAGGGGCGGCGTTGGACTGGGCCGACATGGAGGAGAACAGTTTTTCCCACCTGCCTCCGGTTGAACCTCTGCTGGCTTCTCACCTCCATCCTACACAGAAATCCACCATGACCTCTGCGGGCCCAGCTCTGCCTTCCAAAGCGGATTCTTTTCAGTCATCACTCACTGAAAAAAGCTACAAGGCGGTGGCTACGTCGGTGAAGGCTCTGAACGCATTGTCACTGCTGCTGGCCTACCAGGCCGAGTTGGAGGATGACATGTCGAGCCATGGCCGTGATGGTTGCTCAGGAGAGGGCGAGATGGCTAAACCTGTCCAGCCTCTCTCACAAGGAGAAGTCCCAGCTCCTCGATGTCCCTGTGGACCCTAAAGGCCTATTCAGCCCAGCGGTAGCCACTATGCAGAAACATTGTGAGGAGAAGAAGAGGGAAGGTGAAGCACTCCAGCTGTGTCTCCCTAGAAAAGTGCCACCCCTCCCCCCACTGCACCCCAACAGACGTTTGCCCAAGCTGTGGCTCGACCAGTCTACTGCATCCCCAAGCTTCAGCCCCAACCCCCGGCAAGCAGCCGGGGTCAGAGCAGGCCCCAGGAGCTTAAAGGTGCGTGGGCTAAGAAACTCTTCGTTCCCAGTGTGACGCCAGGAAAGCAAGCCGCCCATCCTGCCACTCTGGGGGCCAAGAAGAAGAGACGTGCCACCTAGTGCGCTGTCTCCGGCGGCGGTGGCGCTTACGCCGGAGAGGTGGAGCTGGGATCCCCGATAGGAGCGGGGGCAAAGTTTTCCCATCTTGTTGTTTCATTCATCCCCAAAACAAACACATGCGCGAGCCAGGTAAACGTCTTTACAACAATACGCACTAGAGCTCATGGGAAATGTAGGCTTCATTCCGGCAAAACACTACCACTTTTGTCCACAGGGTCGCCAAAATCAACTCAAAATTAAAGTTCATTGTAGGGGATTAAAGCTCCTACAGTGAACTTTCATTCATTTTCATTTCTTTCATTTCACTCAAAATGAAACCCTAACCCCTAACCCTACCAGAACCTGCAGGTGGAGGCAGAGGTGCAGGTTGCTGGCAGAGGCTGTAGTAGGTGGAGGTTTGGCAACAGCAGTCTGCCAGAATCTACAGGTGGAGGCGGAAGTGCAGGTTGCTGGCAGAGGCCGTAGGTGGAGGTTTGGCCACAGCAGTCTGCCAGAATCTGCAGGTGGAGGCAGAGGTGCAGGTTGCTGGCAGAGGCTGTAGTAGGTGGAGGTTTAGTAACAGCAGTCTGCCAGAATTTACAGGTGGAGGCGGCAATTGCAGGTTGCTGGCAGAGGCTATAGGTGGAGGTTTGGCTAATTTATTTCTCATCGTGCTGGCAAAGGCTGTAGTAGGTGGAGGTTTCGGCCACAGCTGTCTACCAGAATCTGCAGGTGGAGGCAGCAACTGCAGGTTGCTGGCAGAGGCTGTAGATGGAGGTTTGGCCACAGCAGTCTGCCAGTATCTGCAGGTGGAGGCAGCAACTGCAGGTTGCTGGCAGAGGTTGTAGGTGGAGGTTTGGCCAGTTTAACTCTGAATGTTGCTTTGACAGGCTTTTGGTGTACGTTGGATCAAGACAGTTTAGTGGCGGAAGATGGAGGTATGGCTGCAGCTGTCTGCCAGAATCTGCAGGTGGAGGCAGCAACTGCAGGTTGCTGGCAGAGGCTGTAGATGGAGGTTTGGCCGCAGCAGTCTGCCAGTATCTGCAGGTGGAGGCAGCAACTGCAGGTTACTGGCAGAAACTGTAGGTGGAGGTTTGGCCAGTTTAACTCTGAACGTTGCTTTGACAGGCTTTTGGTGTGGGTTGGATCAAGACAGTTTAGTGGCGGAAGATGGAGGTATGGCTGCAGCTGTCTGCCAGAATCTGCAGGTGGAGGCGGAGGTGCAGGTTGCTGGCAGAGGCTGTGGATAGTAGAATTTGAATCTGATGGTGGCTGTTAAAGGCTATTGGTCTAAGGTGGAGCAGGAAACTTCAGAGGCTGCTGGTGGAGCTGTTTCCATAGCTGTCCTCCAGAGTCTGCAGGTGGAGCATGGGGCAGCAATTGGCTGGTTAAAGATGCAGGCAGAGGGTGGAGGCAGTAGATGGCTGTGTGACAGAGGTGGAGAGGAGTACATCTTGCAGCACACAGTTCCAACACTTAACCATAAACTACAAAACTTAACTTAAAGTAAAAAAAACTTAACCTTAAAACTACAAAACTTAACCTGAAAACTACAAAATTTAACCTTAAAACTACAAAACTAAAACTTAAACTACAAACTATTTACATATTTGAGCTAACACGAGTAATGTTCAGTGCTTAGCTCGTTTCTGTGGCAGTGTCCGGGGCTTTGGTTATCCCGAAGTGTCCACGTCATACAGGGGAGGATGGTCTTCAACCCCGTATGACACACCCACATGAACCAGTCCGTCCTCACTGAATGATTCGGTGAACGTTGGACGCTCCAGGCGCTCCAGAGATCCACTTGTAAATACAACCATTCAGATAACATGTAACAATGCTGTGTAATAGTAGCCTGGGTTGATAAACTGAAGCCACCTGTCTGTTTACATCTTCTTCTTACAGGTATTTCCATACGCTGTGTAAAAGAAGAGCCCTCCTGACTGACTGTGCTGCTGAACTACATCGACCAGAAAGAGCTCTTCCTCTCACTCGTCTGAAATCAAGGTAGTGTGGATCAGGATGGTGTATGGCAGTATGATTTGGTGGTGTCTGAGAGTCTAGCTGTGCATCAGGTCATTAGATTTTTGAATGTATGTTAGCAATGATCAGGCCTGTAGACGTCACTGTGTGAAAACAGAGACGTTATTTATCTTTGTGATAGAAGATCTTTTATGTGTTTTGTTCAGGCCCCGTTGGACTTCGTGGACTCCCAGATACATCAGGAGCTGATCGAGCCGGTTCTAGACACACAACAAGGCTCACTGTTGTCATCTTTTAATGGGAAACTAAATTGTATTGATAGATATTGATTAGATAGAAGTTTATTGATATTATTCTTGGTGAATGAAAATAAATCACAATGTAACCTTAAAGATATAAACTGCAGTATGATGAATTAATTAATGAGTTATTACATATTTACAAGACCACGAACAGTTGTTTTTGTGACTGAGGGCAAGTGCTAGGTTGTAAACCTGACCGACCCAGTTGTCACCACAAACTATCCAATCATCATGGCCTTAACCACTCACCTATGTCAACGGATGGAGGAGATTTTTATATAATCTTATATAATGTACCATATACATATACAGTATAACAGTATACTAAATACACACAGTTATCTGATTGCTTGGTAGACTGTTAGGTGCAAACAACTACTTTCTTTAGATTGCACAGTTACACACTGTTTATGTCTTCATCTTGCTTTTGTTGGCTGCATTGAATCTTTCACCTTGTAAGGAAGATGCCTATGACCTTTTCATTTTCACTGTCACTGTCAACATTAAAATTATAATCAATCAATAATCCACTCTATGTTGTAAACAAGAAGTCTGAGCAGAATAAGCAACACAATAAATTCTCACAATGAACAGCCATATCTTACACTCTTACCCAGTAGTTACAGCTCAGCTGTTTAAGAAACATTTCAATGCTTTGTGGACCAGTCAAACAATATATGCAGAATAACCAGAACAAACATTACTCAAATTATAATGGTGAAATTGAGAACAATAACTACAATATGTCTGTTTTCTTTATTTACTACACAGAACACTCGGATGTTTGCGGTACGTAGTTTATTAAGAGCCTTAGTCAGAAATTAATGCTTATAGTGACGGTTTTAAAAAACTTGTTACTTCTTCTTACCTCAACTCCGGTGCACCTGAGTGCATCATGTTGTTACAGCTAATTTATACTTCTGCGTTGAATCGACGCCATAGGCCTCCTGTCTGTGCTGTAACAAAAACCCAGATTTCAGTCAAATAATCCTCAGATCTGGATTATGATGAATGCTCCGCTGATCAACTCGGTTTATGTTCCCACACAAGTTTTTCTGGAGGCCTAAAACTGAGAACATAAATAGGAGAGGGGCTTGGCTCTTACCTTAGAAGTATTGTATCTTAAATAAGGCTAAAGAAGTATACCTCAAAATTGTACATAGAATATACCCTGCCAGTTGCCTAATAACTAACTTTACAGACACTGATACTACCTGCTCTTTTTGTTAGAACATAATAGACTATAGAAACTATATTTCATCTTTTTTAATGTTAAATATCCATAAGATTTTGGATCAATCTGGAATCTCATGTCTTTGAAACCTGTAATTCAGTTTACTCCTTCAATTTTAAGGATATTATTTGTTATTATTGTAAATCCAGATAGTAGGACTCTTGAATATTTTATTAATTCTGTTATTCTAAATGCTAAATGTTTTATTTACAAACATAAATTATCCTAGTCAACTGCTGAATTTTTTATCTTTTCTCCTAGAATCTAAGGTTCTTCTCAAATCACTCAGTTCTTTAAAAACAAAAAGTGTATGTAATTTGTTTCTCTGAGTCCTGTATGTATCATATATTTTTACGAAATTGACTTGAAATACTGTAAGTTGAACTTTTCACATATACTTATGTCATTCCTACTTTTTTTCTACATGTGCTGTTATTACCTGATGTGTTCTACATGCTCATTTTGTCAAATTAAAGAAAGTTTATTTTCCTGTACCAACATTTTCTCCTCCTGCAGTGTATTAAGAGACTGGCATATGCAGTAGCTCTGCTCACATTGTGCTAAATTACAGGTGAATTAAGCAACACAGCATACACATGTGACACAAGCAGACATACAGCCTGACTTTGTCACCATGCAAAAAATAAATGATGCATACACATATGGCTAAGCAGGGCAGATGCATTTAAGCACCCAGTGGTCACCATAATAAATGACCACTACCTACTATATTTGCAGCTGTGTGTGCTAAACTGACAGCATGCTACTACTACTATTAGCTGTTGTAAACTGCTGTGTGCAGTTTTATGGGTGTGAAGTAGTGCTGACTTCAAGCTGCATCACACAGAATTAAGAGTCAGGGAATATATCAGTGCTGTGCTATAAAGGGACTGCTATTCATATGTCTTAATGTTAATAAGTTGGGTGATGCAATCTTTGCCTATTAAGAGGTGTTCTCTCACATTTAGGCTCAATATTTTGGACACATGTTGCATTTAGTGTTTTTCGTCTGATTCTAAAATGTGCCAGCTGTAAGGTTGTGCCATTGTATGAAACATACTAAGTATACTAACTGACATAATTCCCATTTACCAAGAGAAACGTGTTCAGAATCTGCCGGTCTACAGATAGGTGGTGTTAAGACTTCTTAACTGTCCTATCACCTGTAAAAAAACACTCTGGCCCCTCTGTTACCAGTGCTTTTATGCTATTTTTGGTCCCTTATCACTACCTTGTTTGAGTTTACATCTGTTAAGGGTGTCACTGTAACACGCCTCACAGCAGAAACAAAATTGATTTGTCCGTGGACAGATGTTGCAAATTAGTGTCTCACTACAAACACTTAACAAAGTGCATCTGGTTCTTGTGCATGATTCAGATGCTACTGTGATGTCCTTGTCAACCAAGCTAAACTATACTGAACTTTGCATTCAGAAATCTTAGTTGAAATACTACCATGATGTCAACTTTCAAGTTCTTTATTGTCATATAAAAATGTATTCATAAGGTATCTGTGACTGATGTAATTCCAAAAACTCAAACTTGCACCACAGCTCTGTTGTTAGGGACTAAATCTAAAGAAGCAGCAGAAATCCCCTGTGTTTAGTTCCTTTCATTCCAGTGTGTGACTGTATGGAAATGCAGTGGTGGGAAACACGTTGAGGAAAAAAAACAAAACAAAACACAAAGAGACAGAGCAGCCTTCAAGATTGCTTTAGAAGATATATAGATATATTTTTTCAGATTTGAATATTAATGTCAAAAATACATATTATGATATACAGTTTGCACTACATCATCTTAGCATGACAGACGTCACAAGTAGTAACTGAAATATTAATTTAAATATTAAATAAACTGATGGTAAGTAAACTGAAAAGTGAATGTGTAAACACTAAACTAAGGTTACTCTTTCTATTGCAACACTTCCAATAAAGTGGTTCTGTAACAGTACAAAAGTATTAGAATATTACTATTTTCTGTTTCATTTCCAGTTATAATGAGAAAAAAAATCCACAGTGCACTGATTTTCTGCTGTGATGCTTTCAGTTGACTCAAGCTTGATTGCTTGTTGAACTTTAGTGGTCCATGGTATGGGTTTTTTTTTTTTTTGGACGAGGGAATGGCGTTGCACCACAGTCTGCCGCCCGCTTCCTCTTCCATGCGCGCTCCCTCTGCTCCGAGCTCAGGAATCACAGGGTCAAAGCTGCGTTCACTTTCATTTCAATCAATCTAATCTCCAAATTTAAAACAAAGTGTTTTATCATTAAAAGGGCCGTGTATTGCATTAATAACTAAATTAATTGAGATTGAACACTTATTCATTTTGTCAAGTACAGGTCCGATTAACATTTTGAGTTGAGCAAACAGAGTAAAGAAGCCTAAACTCTGCTGAAATAATTTAAGTATCTAACTGATTCTGAAGATGATCACTGGTCTCTCTCCTGCCAGATGCTGGAGGGGATACACACAACAGCAGGAAAAAGAATGACATATCATATCTGGTAAGGCCTTTTTACCCAGGAGAACAGGATCTGAAACACACTCTACAACTGTAACCTTTGACCCATTTTCTTTGATCCAAGGTTGTGCACTTAACAAAGAACATCAATTCTGACGAGTCTCCCAGGCTCTTAGCCCACCCCCACTTGTCAGTTCTGGGTGACAGAAGGGATGACACTTAAGATTTTGGGCACATGCCAGGTGAGTCTTGTTGACTGTAGTCCTTAAATTGCTCCTCTTTTAGAGACGTTCATTTTGCCATGGGCTGCGTAAGAGTCTTTTGCTGGCATTAAGGTGTGACTGAAGCTTCGGCAGTCGCCTGCCTGGAGGGGGAGGAGGGAGGGAGTCGGGTCTCAGCAGCGTGGAGAGAACGGTGGGTCGATTGGGGACTCTGTGGAGGACTGGAGCTCGTAGGCAGCTCCACTGTCCACCTCCTTGGACTTCCTGGAAAACAGCAGACGGATGTCCCTATGGAGGTAGATCTTCCCAGACTTAGAACTCTGGAACCTGGTTGGGTTTGGACAGATGGACGAAGGACAGAGAGGATGAATAAGGGAAAAGAAACATCACAGCTACTGGATACATTCCAGTTTCAGTGTGCACTAGAGACAAACTAACAGCCAGTTTACCTCAGATGAACGAGGTAGCGCAAAGTGCGTCCCTGGCCGAGGGACTTCCTGCTGGTCTGATTGTTTGTGTCACGGCGGACGGGCACAGAGAAGGTTCTCTGGCGCAGGAAGGTCTGGTGTCCAGCTGGCATGGCTCGTAGGTCATACATCACAACAAACATCTTCACAACTGTCTTGTTGGGATTGAATAAGGTCTGAAAGGTATAACCAGAGAGCACTTAGGCAGGTTTCTAACTCTTTGTGACCTTACTTCATCAATCTACAACAACACAACAGAACCCTACGTGCCTGCATAAATCATGCTAAGAAATGGACTTCAATTATATAGAGGAAAATGCATTTCAAATTCAGAAAATAAGTACATAAATTAATAAAAACATACTCTTGTTACATGATGAATTTTTCTCTATGACCACTAGGGGTCTCCCTTTCCCTTTGTTAGTTGGTGTAATTTGCTCTTTGTTCTCAGCTATGTGTGTACACCATGATGCAGATACTTTATAGAGGTAAATACTTTTAGATAATTTCTACATTTATGAAAACAAAACCCTGACAGTCTTCTCACCACTTGAATGGTTCCTGATGGAGGTACACGGTAGCCCCTTTTCCCCAGGGACTCCAGGTTTATCACACCCTGTGGACAGCACATGTAAACAAGGCTCAGTCACACAGGCCTGTAAAAGAAATATTACTGATTGACTAACTTGAGAAAAAAAAAGATCTCACCATATATGGTGAGGGAGCATTGTCATCGGATACACTGTAGAATGACACCTCTACGGGTAAGGTCAGGTGACTGGGGCAGAAGGACCCACTGGCTCCGACCTCTGCTGTAAAACCCTCCACTAACCCTAAAGGCTCCAGGCGATAGTTCAGCACACACTCCTGGGGAAAAGACATCATAATGTCATTTAATTTTTGTTTAATTTGATCGTTGTAATTGAATTGAAAAGAAAAATAGCATGAGTGTGAGTACACTTTTCTGTGTTTGTGTGTTATACCTCAAAGTTTCCCAGCAGACTGAGACTGGCAGGTGGAGCGCTGGCACTGAACAGCTGCTGTGACTCATCGGTGTACCCCTCTCTCTTTGGACACACCCTGAAGGGTTAAAACACACACACACACACACACACACACACACACACACACACACCTGATCAACTTGTTTTCAAGGCGAGATGTGTGACAGAGCATCTTAAGATGCTTACGTGAAAAGCATTTCTGGCATGTTTAAGTGGACGTGCATCCAGGGTGAGATAAAATGATCTGAGACTCAATTTCATTTGTGTGTAAACAAAAGTGCAATCAGTCATCTCTAAATGTTTCTGACTCTGATATCTTGATCTACTGAAGGAACAGACAGGAAAAAATGCAATTTCTGTATATAAATTTTTAATCATACATTTCCTTGAATTAAAAAAGAAAGAAAATCATACATAGAAGCATGACGATGGCTTTTACCAGCCGCAGCCAAATTGAACAGATCTCCTCCGGTGGCTAAAATGAACTTTACACCCCGAAGGCTGAACTCTAAAAACATCTGCTTTATAAAAAGCTGCACTGAGCTACCACCCACATCTGCTGTGTGTGTAGGCAGTGCCGTGAAGCTTGTGTGTATATAAAGCCAATTCAGTTCTGTCTGCCATTTTGAGCAGAATGTGTGTGATTCTAGATGCAGCCACAGTACAGCAGAGCTTCAGCAGGTGGCAGCGTGAGAGGAATAGTCAGCAGAACAGGGCTGACCTAACCCCGGCACTCCGAACAACACTCTTATTGTCTGATCTCTCAACACAAGAGACAATACTTCTAAAACCTGTTGCTGATTCAAGGCTATGTCAGCGTGTTAGGGTTTAAGTATGGCAGCTGTAGCAAACAGAGTCTCTAATATAGATCCCTTTGGACTTTGGATAGCGTCATTAATACTGCCAGTAAACAAACAAAAAAAAAACCTTGAACAAATATTAAACTTTAAACACAACAATAAAAGAAAACAAAGCCAGAGTTTGCCTTGCTGGCACTGGTTCATTGTAACAGCTGAAATGTTGCGTAGTGAGAAAAACAAGTTTTAAAATTATGCACAGTATGAGTAACTTGATCCAGATGGTACTATAATAAACAGATGATGTGGGAGGTTAACTGCAAAACAAAAAAAACTTGTTTGTCCTTTAACTGTTACTAAGACTGCGTCAAACCCATGACAGCATCCTGACCTTGTCCGCGTGGACAAACTGCGTTGGAGTCTGGTAACTGTGCTAACAAAGATCCCAGGTGAGAAAATGTGTACCTTTTCCCAGAGGCCCAAGGCAAACCCTTACAGCCAGCCACAGAGGTGTCCAGGTCAAAGTAGCCTGTTTGATTTCTCCTCTGAGGAACCTGCCGCAGATGCACAGGACATGATTAGCACAGACAAACTGTCACAGTATCCAGGTAAGAGCTTGGAGGACAAGGCAGTAGTTTCATCTTTTGAAAATATAGGGCTCTTAAATTGAAATATTAAGATTACAGGAAAGGAATTTAAAAGGACAAAATGTGTTAATAGCTGAGTTTAAAATGACAGGAAAAATACATTTTAAATCTCTCATTAAACTATGTATTTTCAAAATCACTATCTAGTGTAAAAACTCCATACATACAAACATATGAATGAATTTTCTGCATGATGTCTATGTGAATATGTGTGAGCTTGTGTGTTGTTAAGACTGTGTGAGACTGAGAGTTCACAGGAGTGTCTGTGTGTACGTTTTAGTGTTTACACGTGTGAGCGAGACCGATCAGAGGGCAGGAAACTGTGATGATCTGGGAGTGTGGTAACTGACAAACTCAGTGAAACAACTTGACCGTGGTTGATGAGGAGCAGATGAGTCACGTGCCTCACCTGCCTATGTGTGTGTGTGTTTTTGTGTGTACATTAACCCTGGCTAACAACACAGTGGCCCAGCAGCAGCAGCAGCAGCAGCAGCAATAAAAACAACTGCCAGATATTTCAAAGTCTCTTTACGACAAGCATTCACAGGCTCACTTCGAACACTTGTGAAAGTACTGTGAGTAATGCTTCAGATGGCCTGAAATAAAGGGGAGTGAGTGTGGTATTATGGCAAACACAACTGCATGGAGACCGACGATGGCTGAGTCAGTACATGTTTGTGACTGTGGGCCTGCGTGTAGAAAGTGGACAAATGGACAAAGCAGGAACTGACAATGACTGTGAGTTTCACAGTGAAGATGAGTGTGTGTGTGTGTGTGTGTGTGTGTGTTTCTTACAGGGCTGGAGAGCAGAGGCAGGCCAGTGCAGGGGTGGAAGGCCTTGGTCGCTGTGGCATCTAATGAGTGGCGATTCTGTTTCTTCCAGCTGTTGCAGGGGCGCAGCGGGGAGGGGCTGTGAGCTCGCTGGAGCAATAAGATGGAGAGGGATCAGGGTGGTTTGCAAGTAAACTGAAATAAATCTGCATTTATCGTATCATATTCTCAAGTATCGTATGCCATCTTGATTACCCTATCAGTCCCACCTGCTCCCAACAAAACACTCATTAAAATCACCCATTAAAACTGAGCAGTGTGTATAAATGAGGAGGTTCCCTCCAGTTTGACATCTTATATTTGAAAAATGTGATGGCTGTAGTTATCTCTGATATCGGAAATTAAATGGGAACTAGGCACACTTTCAAAATTCATACATGTTATTCCTGTGGTCTGAGACAGTCCACAAATACAAGTAAACATGAACACATCTGTCCCAAAACCAAAAGCTAAAGTGCCAAAGCTCAAATGTATGATATCATCAAGTACAAAGTCTGGAGCTGCTCCATTGACAATGAATTGGGAAAGATGTTCCAGATGACACTGAGAGCACCCAGGGGAACATTCTGAGTATATGGGTACATTTTGTGTCTCAGAGCTGAGATCTCTATGATAGAATAAAGCTCATTTGGGTATTAAAAAGAAAACAAACATCCTGTGGCTTCACAGTATCAGTCTTCCATTCATTGTCTATGAAGAAGCTCCAGACTTTATACCCTATGACATCACAAGATTGAGACTTACTTCTGTGGTTTCTGGCTTTGAGAGAGAGCAGCTCATGTTCACAAATATTGATTTAACTTTCTTAGACCATGGAAATAACATGCTGGAATTATTAATTTAGGTGGCGTTCCCCTTAAGGCTTCAATGCCTTAGTAAATCATTTAGGCTGCTTAACAATTTTGTCTGGAATGAGTTATTTGTTTAATCAAATATATAATTTCCTATAATAATAGAAGCTAAATGTTGTTTTTAGAATATGACTTAAAAGAAGAGTTCAACATTTTCAGAAGACACACCTACTTGCTTTCTTGCTGAGCATCAGAAGATTGATATCATGATGAAGAGGAGTCTACTGCTAACAGCCAAGGATATTAAATGAAAGCTGGGACACAGTGTGAAATCGTGTCATATCATTGGGGTACAACACATGTGCAGTCTGGTCTGCACTTGTTTAAGGTCTCAATAACTCACTAACTTAATTGAAACTTCTGTAGTCGGCCTTGTGATTCTTTTTTTTCCCGAAAAATAAAAATACGGTGAGGAATTACAATTCTCCAATTATTGAAAAGATTTTTTACAAAAGACTATCAACACATGCTTTCTATATGAAAACATTCTACTGTATATTGAATGACATCTGTTAAAAAAAAACAAAACTTCTGTCTGGCTGAGCACACCAAAAGAGGCTGAAGACAGTGTACCCAAAGAGCACCTGAGCAGACAACATCCTTTTATATCTACTTTTGGGCAGAGTCAGGTGAGTTGTTTCCCGCTGTTCCCTGTCTTTGTGCTAAGCTAAGTGGCTGCTGGCTGTGGCTTCATATTCGCCATACAGACATAAAAGTGGTATCAATTTTCTCTTCCAACTGTCAGCAATAAAGCTAACAGGATTATTTGCCAAAATGTTGAAACAATCCCTTTTATAGTGATGCAGTTAAACCAAGCCTCAGGGATAGGGTGGGACGAAATAGAATGATTGCAGATTAGTTAATGGGCTATCACTCACTGATATATGGACAAACAATGCTTATGAAAATGGGGAGTCCCTTACCAGGACTGTAGAAGGGGGAGTCATGTCTGGACTGGAGGTGCTGGAGCATCCAGACACCGAGGGTGCCTGGTTCTCATCCTGCAGGGCAGAGGCCTGGGCTGGTGCACAGCACTGCGTCTGGGACTGAGGCTGAGGCTTGCTGTGGTTGTGGCTTATGTTACAGTTCATGGCTGGACTGGCAGCATTGCAAGTCCAACTGAAGATCTGGGCATTCCTTGGGCTGTTCTCAAGGACAGGGGAGGCAGGGGGGGTTTCATGGCTGCTGGGTGTCCTGACTCTGAGCTTTTCCTGTGGGGGAGTTCGTAAACACCGACCAGCCTGGGTGTGGGACTGGTCTTTCAATGAGGGTTCTTCAAGTGTAAAGTGAGCACCATTTTGGGCCCGGGGTGAATGGCATTCGGGCCCCGGATCAACTCGGGGCTTGTCTGTGCAAACGGGCGCAGGTGTGGCAGCGGTGCGACTGCTGCCTCTGTGAGGTTCATGGCTGGGTATGTGGCCGTTGGTGTAGCCGTTGGTGGCAGTGTGTGAGGCCTGTGGGATGTGTGTGGTGTGTGAGTACGTGCGGACCGTGTGTGTGACTGTCGTTGTGTGTGTATGGTGCAGATGGCTGCCGCTCCTGCTGTGCCTTGGGGACAGAGAGGGGACAGACAGTCTCTCCTGGATGAGTCTAGTTATGTCTTGTACTGCCTGGGCGATCAGGGAGCTGTCTCTCTCCCTCTCTTTCTCCTTCTCTTTCTCTCCATTTCTCTCCTCCTCTCCGTCTCTGGTCTCAGTCATTCTCAGCTTCCTGCAGGCTGCAGGTTTAGGGGAGGAGCTCTCCCGTTTGCTGAAAGATGTGTCGGTCACGGGTGTGTTGAAGGGGCCGGGCCACACACGTCCCACAGACTCATAGGGCGGTACCTCGGGCTCTTTGGTCTTACTGGCAGTTATGTCATCATGGTTACTGCCCCACATGGCTTTGGGAGGGTTGTCAGAAGCAAAAAGGCCAGGAGGGAGTGGCGGTGCTGTGGGGTCGCAGAAGTTGAGCCTCTGTGCAATGCGGGCGATAACTTCCTGTCTCTCCTGCAGCAGGGAGCCAATAAGGGGGTTTGTCTCGGTGGCAGGCCTTGGGGAGGGACAACGGGGTGGCTCAGCCAAGGAGAAATTTTTAAAAGCTCTCAGTGGCTCAGGGAGGGGCCCCTTTGACCTATCACTGCTGTTGGTGCCAGAGCCATAGTCCTCTACTTGTGTGGGGTCAGATGAGCCATTGAGAGCTGAGTACAACCACTTCCCTGCTTTACTTGGGGGAAGTGGAGAGGGGGAGTGGGAGCGGGAGGGCGTGGGGGAGTGAGGGGACCTGTGGAACAGTGGGGAGCCCTGACGCTGGGGGATGTTGACCTGCGGAAGCTCTCCGTTCTGATACATGTGGTCCTCACCGGGCTCCTGGCTCTTCTTGCTATAAGGAGGAGGAACAGCAGTGTGGGGAAGGCTGTTAATGGGGATGTTGTTGATGGGAAGGTTAGGAATGGGTAATCCATTGAGGAGAAGGCCGGACATGGAGTTGGAGGTTTTGCTGTAGATGTTAGAGTTGTGAAGGAGGTTGTCTTTACTGGGGTCCTGGTTCTTTTTGTGGGTGGGCAGGCCACCATGGCTGTTGAGGTTTGGGCTGAGGCTGGGGGTCTTGCTGTAACGTGGAGGCAGGCCAGTATGGATGCTGCAGGCCAGGGTGGGGTAGGTGGGCTGGCGGGGGAGTGACTGGACACGAACCTGCAGTGCAACACTCTGGGACACATTAGGGACGGGGAAAATGTGTTCTGAAGGCGGCTGGGAGAACTGCCATACCAGCTCCTCGTCAGCAGCACTGATTCTGTTTGACAGAGACAGTGAGAGAGGTTCAATTAACACGCCATAGTTAACTCTTACACCTTAAAGGTCGCATATTACTCTCATTTTCAGGTTTATATTTGTATTTTGGGTTTCTATTTACATGCTTTAATGTTCAAAAACCACTTTATTTTTCTCATACTGTCTGCCTGAATATACCTTGATTCAGCTTACGTGTGAAATGCTCTGTTTAAGCACCTGTCTCTAAGCCTCTCTTCCTGAAAAAGCCCCTCACTAATCTGATTGGTCAATGTTTCTGGGTCTTCCCCATGTATGCTCTCTGTAATGGCATTGTAGCAGCACTTTCTATCTTTACTGACTGTTTCACTGGAATAGCATCGCTAGGTAACAGCTTGGGTCCATGTTTACTTCCTGTCAGCTGATGTCATTCACAGACACTGCAAAACATACAAAGGGATCTATTTAGAATGTTTATGTTGTCAAGTTTGAAACAGTCCATATGGTCTTAACTAAATCACGTCTGTTTACAGTAACTTTTTGAAAACCCTCCAATCATGTAAAATAAATTAAACGGTGCTGAGCAAACACTGCCTCAATTCTTTTTTCTTTGCCATCGAAAAAGGCTAGATTAAAAAAATCAGTATCATTTTAATTGTGCACTATATTTAGAATATTTTCACTGCGTTACCTTGCCATTAGACAGTCCTCTCTGACAGGAAACTGAGGCTGTTATATCAAAGCTACAAGATACCATTGACAAAGCCAGTAATTTTACTTTGCAGAACACTGGAGTTACTGGGCTACCACAGCAGGGATTAATTAGTGCACAAGGCAAAGCAGAGTGTACACTATATACAAATATAGTTTACACATACACATTTTTCTATGTGGCTAAAATACGTATTGCAACACAGAATATAAAATAAGCACAACATAGACATCAGATAGGTCGGACCAAAGAGTTTAACTAAAATATACACTTGAATGTTACAACTAGGCCTAAGAAATCAAGAAGTTTGCTGATTTTAAACATCAACACAACTGAAATCAACAGCCAGTTGTCTATCTGGAAGTGACTGTTGTTGTTAGTGCGAAGTCAACAGTGATTTGGTCTATTGTCAGTTTCATTGCTTAGCAACAGCTTGGGGCCATGTTTACTTCCTGTCAGCTGTTGTCATTCACATACACTGCAAAACACTCCAACAGAAAAATACAAAAGCACCATTCAGAATGTTCATGTTTCAAGTTTGAAACAGTCTAGTATAGTTTTGACATCACAAATTCACAGAAGTCCTGACGGCTCACTTAAAAGCACAATTTCTGAATACGGACTGTGAGCGAGCATTTCTCTGTGGATTAAGCGCTTTGACACTTTCAGAGTATTTGTGTAGCACCTATATGTTCTTCATATTAAAAAAGACATCAAAATCCGACTTTTTACAATATGGGATCTTTAAAACTTCTAGGATTTGTCGAGAGCCTTCAGAAAATCAGTTTTTCTTCCTCTGTTTCAATTTCAACCACACAAGCTTCACACCTATATATAAATTTGAAAAGAACACAACCTTAGATAAAGTTTCCTGCAGCTTTGATAATCTGGTATCTAAAAGCCTTCAGCCCACCAGTGTCAAAGTCCTCAGTGAGTGTTATGTCTGACCTGTACAGGATGTTTCTCGGGACGATACCATGGGAGGCGCTGAGCCAGGCGCTGAGCTGGGAGAAGAAGACGTAGGAGCGCACAGCCAACAGCAGGGTCTTCTCCTCAATGAAACGATCGCCGCTTCTATTAAAAACACAGTTAAAAAGAGGTGGAAATGTGCCAGTGTGTCAGGTTAATGAGAAAACAGTTCAAGGATGTGTGTGTGTGTTTTTCCAAGCACAGTGTTCCCTGTTCCTACACGTTAGAAGGAAAGTGGGCCAATTTGTAAGGCCGATTAACCCTCTGAGCGCCAAGGCAATTACCTGTTTTTTTCATCTTTTAGTTTTATTATTACTTTATTCCATATTTTTAACATTTTATAGCTTCTTCAGCCTTCACCTTTGCCTGTCTTTGGATCTCTTGGAAGATAAAAACTCATGCGTCTCTCATTTATAATGCAATATTGTACATTATAAAAACACTAAAACCTAAAATTAATTCATTAGAAATGTCTTAAACACACATACAAGTAAGGATTTCACAGCTCTTGTGAAGGCATGTGTGCTTTTACACACACTTACAGAAGGTGTGTTATTGTAGAAAATCATCTGCCACCAGGACAGAGGCTCTAAAAGCAGCAATACTAACACATCGTTATATAGAATAGTAATCTATTTGAAAATTGTATGACACTTTTTATTGTCTTGGCATTTTATTTCAATGTATTTCACAGTTTCTGTTTGTTTTACCGCCTGTACTTCTTTTGTTGTACTTATTTATACAAATTAACTCCTGTCATGGAAAGCATGTGAAAGCATTAGTCATGCAAACAGTAAAGATAACCAAGGACAGCAATGGATTATGGGAGGAGGTAGCAACCTTGGAAATACAGCATACAGCATTTTTTCTGTAGACTTTACTAAACGTTGGTGAGCACAGTCTCCTTTGTGTCTGTGTAGCTCTCTTCTCTGGCATTGTCCACGTGCGTGTGTGTGCTCCTTACTGTCTTGGAACTGGTTGCAGGGTCCATCTCTCCAGCAGCAGAGCATCTTGTTTGATGACCGGGTCGCTGATGGGGTCACTCGGGGGGCACTCATCGCCATAGCAACAGTCTGGCAGGAGCATGACCTCGATCATGATGGGGATGCTGTTCCTCCAAAGCAGGATCACCTCCGAACGGGTTCGCCTTGCCTGCTGACACTGGATACGCACACACCGGCAGACAAAGGTGGAGGGTTAGTGTTTATTAGTGAATGTCACCGGGACCTTGAAATTTAGGGGCACAGCAGATGGGACCCGCAAAGAGCCTCACTTAGAGGGGAATTTCTCAGTGATGTTATTTAGGTCACTGCTCGGTTCACAATATTAAAAATCTTTTCAAAGTAGTGTTCAAATAGGTACAACGAGTTGAAAAAAGTTAAATAATCCAATTTTTAATTTTGTGCAGGCTTGTTTGTCCACTGTTTCCATGGAAACAATGATAAAAGAGGCCATAAAGATATAATCTCTTCACATCCATGGAAACAATGATAAAAGAGGCCATAAAGATATAATCTCTTCACATCCATGGAAACAATGATAAAAGAGGCCATAAAGATATAATCTCTTTACACAGATAAGGCAGTTGGTTTACAATCCTAACAACTACATAACTGCATAATTCACAAATGTTAAAACAAAATTAATATTTAGTTATTTGTGATGCAATTCAAATATATTGTCACATTTTATTTCAAACTAATTTGGTTGTGGATGTGTGGAATCAGTTCACTTATAAAGCACGTGCAGCAGAGCTGTTTTGCAGGCTGTGACGTAGGGTTGGGCGATATGTTAAAAATTTCCAACCGGCCACCGTCAGCCCATCAACCGGCGGTTGCCGATATATTCGGCAGTTGTGTGTGTGGCGGAGAAGAAAAAAAAGAGGGGGGGGTGTTGCATTCATGTGATGTTGGAAAGAATCGAAAAATGACTTTCAGAATGGGATAATTCACATGAACGCCACCTCATGTCAGAAAAACAACTCAGATCTCCCGACACCACATGAATGCAGCAAAAAATGCAGCGTGCTTTGCAAGCCCACTCATGTCCAACACGGCACGGAAATATCTGTGCATACCGGCAACAAGCACGCCATCAGAGCGGGTGTTTAGTACGGCTGGTAACATTGTTAACCATGTGCGCACTTTGCTGAAGCCAGATAAGGTTTACATGCTCGTTTTCCTCTCCAAAAACAACACTGTTTTTGAGTTAAAGACAGCGCAAAGGGACTTTATTATTTTATGTGATAGTGTGATTTTTGCACTTTATTTTTCCATTGTTCTTCGTTTAACCTATATTTATTATTATTTGTATTTATTTATTCAAGCAATAAGCCTATGAGAGGCTTTTAGAACAGCTATAACAGCTTAAGTTTTTTTTGCCACGTCCACAACGGCATTAGCTATTATAAAGACAGCGCAAAGGGAGTAGACATCATTATTTTATGTGATTGTGTGATTTTTGCACTTTATTTTTCCAATGTCCTTCGTTTATATTTACTTATTTGTTATCATAGGCTATTGTTACTGTGTAACTTTTGTGGACCGACCGTTTATTCTGTTTGAATAAATTTACCTGTGCCTTATCCTCTGACTGTGGTCTTTAATGTCAGAATTATTGAATTGAAATTTTACTGAAACATACAGCCTATAGGCTATACTCTTATTCATTAAAAAAATCACCTTGAGATCTTTGCTGAGTAATAAGCTGTAAAGACGGGCTGAAGACGACTGTCCGACACCATTTTAAAAGAGTCTGATGGCTGCAGAAGGACGCATTCGCTCACAGCCTCTACATCATCAAACAGGTGGGAGATAGGGATAACATACCTGTCCTACTATAACGATCGGGGTGCACAACTGCACGTTTTTTGATGTAGTTCTCAATTATGGTTTATGAATTAACGTTACGGCCAGGTTCCACCGGCTGCAAACAGCGTCACATCAAGCATCTTGTTTACCGTTTGCTGAGCCATGATAGTTAAAGCATTTTCCACCTAAGTTATTACATATATTTGAGTTATCTACAAGTTTACTGTATTGTTTGTCATCTACTCACTTTCAAATGTCCGCCACGGACATTAATACAATGTCACGGTAAACATGGGTAAATGCATGAAAATGAAAATCATCACATATCACCTCTGATAATGGTTTATTCATTTAAAAACACATGGTGCTCGTTTAGCACACTATTTCACGTAGTTTTTATCTGCTGGAGGGTCGCGTAAGGGAGCATAGCGCGACAAAAATAGAAGAGCATCCTAAAATAGAAAGTTGTCGCGCCGCTGCCGTTGCTGGTAGAGCCGCTGTAATTGATTAACGGGGGGCGAGCTGCTACGGGACTCTCGCCGCTGACGTCCCCGGTGGACCCCGGCCGTAACTTTCAGCTCCGCCATCACTGATGTGTTTTGTGAAAGACTCGTCGGAAATCAGTGTAAAGCTGCCAGTTCCAATACACACACACTCTGAATTGTGCTCTACATAGTAAATACATATACATACATACATACATAGTAATTATGGACTATATGTACTGAGTTGAATTCTGTGGAGACAGACCATTAATTTAGCAAAATAAAATGACAAAAATTGCCCAAAAAATCGCCAAAAATGAAAACAACCGTGATGGACTCAGCCGATGGACGATATATTCGTCCAATCGCCCAAGTCTACTGGGACGTACAGGTGTAGAGGCAGCTCTGCAAAGCAGTGTGTGTTCAGTCGCACGCCATACTTCCTGCCTTGCTTTTGACATTAACCTCGCTGTGACCCGCACTCTCTAACACAGTGGTAAACATTTTGGCTGCACTGGCTGCCTGCTGTGAACGCCATACACCACACTGTTTATATGGTCAATTTATTTTTTTAAATTATGAATTTCATATTTTAGTGTTGGATGTAGAGTTCCAGCTGTTTAGGTAACTTGAATAATGCAAATGAAGCGACAACAACCTCTGGTAAAATGAGAGGGGGGACTGCCTTCTGTTGACAGGTTAGGCAAAAACATGAGAGGCCGTGTACACACATGTATGCATGTGCTACCTGGGGCAGTTTGTCGCTGCATTCGTGCTTGTGAAGAGGCGGCATGGCCGACTGGGCTGGTGGACAGTGCAGCCCCTCGGTTCTGCCCTTCACGGAATATTCTGGTGTCCGCCCTTCTGTGATGAGCAAGGTCAGGAACACCAGGAACTCCTCCGCGTCATACTCGAAAAACTCCTCCGTTGCATCTGGACAGGGCAGAGAAACAGCTGGTAAGCGGCATATCTTTCCAAATCCCTTCACATCTGAACACAAAATAAGGAACCAACTGGAGGAAAGTAGCAGGTAAACTACTTATGTGCCTATCCTGTAACAGCTGCTGGGGGCAATAAAAATGACCTGTATTAACATGATACAGACACAAATGCTTGAATGGTTTTACCTACGGAGATGCAGCTATTTAACTTTGGCTGGAAAGACTTGTTTAGAGAAGGGGTGTGGGGGAAGGCAGCGGATGACACAACTTTTCCAGTTTGGCCACTTCAGAGGAATATATTTAGACCTCCCATGTCAGCTGAGCAGAGGGCTGAGGCCACACTGACTGCTCTCTTATACAGCGCACACACAAACACACACAAACACGTACAAGTATAGACAACACTGACAGTGATGTCATTCACACTCATTATTACAAAACCTTTTGCAGGCAACAACTCAACCTGAACATGAGAACTGTAAAGAACAGAGTGAGAAGTCATGCTGCAACACCAGCTACTCCAATTTTGCCAGGGTGTGGTTGGGTGGGGCTAGCAGGGTGACCAGGCCCTGGCAGGGCAGAGAGCTTAATCAACCTTCCACCATTCAGGAAACAGCCTGTTTCCCTCTGAATCAACAGCAAGACTCTTTTCAAATTACCTTTTATGTGGCAGCAGAAGACAACTAACAAGGAATACTCAGCTGGTTGTCACATTCAAATTATAGCTCATGCTGAGCCACTCTGCTGTGCACTATTATTCACAATCACCAATTTCATAGCAGTTTTTACAAGGGGCAAGATGGGGGCTGTTGTATATTAGGTCACCAGCCAAATAGTGGCTGCTGTGGCTCGTCGTTTTGTCTCCTGCAACAACAAAATTAACAAAATCCTGCCTTGTTTGTGCTGTAATTGAAGCTTAGATCTAAAGTAGGAGTATTTTTAGCAGGAGGTTGAAGAGCCCGTCTTAGCGCTCTATCTTCTGTGCTCCTCCAGAGAAAACTCCCAGATTCCCGCAGGAGGTCAGCTGATACACAGCAGCTCTGAGAATCACAGCTTTCTTTCTTTACAGCACACAAGTAAAACACACTGACGTGCAAAACCTGCCTGCCCTACAATTTCAAGCTCTCCTCCTGTCTTTGTCAAACAAATATTAGGTCACAATTACGTGGCTACTTCTTAATCATTATAAGCCAGGTCCTCCTAAGGCTAGAAGTACAATTACAAATACACACACCCTGTCCTCCTCCCACCAGAGCCAGGCTGGCTAGAACAGAGTCCCTCTCAGCTGGCTCTGCAGAAGTGTGAGCTACGAGCTGCTGCTGCTGTGTGTATGTGTGTGTGTGTGTGTGTACATATCGCAGTCAGCCAGCCAGTCACGCACATTCCTCTCAGGGAACTCCTCCTACATGCCTTTGAGCTGCTGCTGCTGCACGTGGAGAGAAGCGCAGTCCAACACAAAACATGAGGTGGAGGGAGGCTGAGGGGAGAGGAGGGGAGGAAAGGGGAGGGGAGGGGAGGGAGGGGGTCTGTTAGCCAGCTGTAGGCTGAATAAGCGCAGGGTGAAAGAGATGGAGGCTATATTCAGGGACAATCTCCTTTTCTTTATGGGCTAGAATCGGAAAGGCTTGAACAAAGGCAGCAAGAAACCAATGTTGAGAGAGGAAAAGGGAGCGAGAGACGGACCAGAGGGAATTATATATGACAAAGGTCAAAGGATTCAAGGTCACAGAGTCCATCTCTTTTACATGATGGTTGGCTTCAATGTACTACATATGCAGCAGTGAGCTGCCGTTAAGGTATATCCCCGTCTGTGCTGGGGAAGGCTCTAGTTCCTGGTCCTATCAGGGGATTTGGGCTAAAGGTGACACTCCATGAAGGAGGCGACGGGGATCAGAAGAGAAAGGAAGCACGGATGGATGAAGGGAGGGAGGAAAAAGACTGATTAAGGGAGCAGCAAAAACAGCCTCTGAGAAATGGTGCTACGTATACCCCCCCTTGAACACACACACACACACACACAGAGCCCCATTATATGTGCATGGTGGGTGTCGGATTGCTGCTTTCTAGGAAAGGCAAACCCAGGAACACATCCATACATACAACCCTTAGGCACATTTAACAAAAACACACATGAAGCCACAGCGATAAACAAACACACCATCGCCAAACATGTGAATCAACTGAAAACACACACACACACACACACACACACGTGCAATGCGGGACAAAAGACTAGTGATGGAGGCTTTGGTTTAGGGGCCCAGCCCATAGATGAGAGCTGTCATTCTTTAGGGCGTCGTGTCTGAATAGAACATTCCTATGAAACCTACACACGCACCAACACACACACACACACACACACACACACACACACACAAAGAAAGAAACACGGCTTAAATGGAAGCTGGGAGGTGATCGGGATGCAGGGCAACACATAAAAGGCAGAGAAGTAAGAAACCTTTCTGTAGCAAAAGAGAGAGCTGTGTTCAACTTACAGAACCACATTTACAGAGCCGACTTGAGACAACCAAAGCAAACAATTTGATTGTTTTAGCTTGATGCGGGATGCCGAGATCTTGAGACTCAAATCACCTCCCTCTGTCGTGTTTTAAATCCTGTCTTTGGCACAAACAGTTAATATCATTTGGGGAATTTATGTAACAATCTGAGTTGTTTACCAATCATTAAGCCTCATAAGCGGGGCTCAATGTTCAATCCTGGCGTTTGCCTCCCCTCCTTCTCCTCTCTTTTCCTCTGAAGCGTGACCAATTCATTCCTGCCTCTCATCAATCTATATTTGTACAGTTTGAATTAATGTGTGTCTGTAAGATTTTCTCTCTTTCTCCAATTTGTTTTTGAGCCCTCTCCGTCTGCACTGTGTGTACATTATGTAATTTAGTCTCTGCTTCTTCCAAACCTGTGTGTAAACTCTGCTGGTCCCCCATGCATTCAGTTAGAGAAGTACCATAGCAACTACTAGCACTGCTTGAGAAATGCAAACGGGAAAACGTTTCAATCGGGAAAACATAATCAGGTTTAGGTCGGCTGTTAAAATAAGAGGCTTTGCTGATACATCCTGCACTTTAGGGACCCAGACCCAAGTACATAATGCACAATGGAACACTGATCTGTCTCTTTTCCATGTGCGTGTGACCTCTCCTCCGTCTCCCGATAATGTGTGATATGAATTATGTAACAGGTCGGATTTAGATTCGGGCGTCTTATTATTAGACCTGTGACCGCCTGCCACCAAGTGCAGCTGGAGTCCCGCCCACACACACACACAAACACCTCTCAGCTGTCTCTGTGTCCGCAGGCCAACAGATCAGTATAGTGTCATGTGGGATGGAAAAAGGCCCAGAGGACAACAGCGGAGAGGTCAGCCTCAGTTGCAAACAGTGTTCAGAGTAAAAACACTGTGGCACACACTGACACACACTTCAGAGTGATTCATGGTTACCTAAGACCTGTCAGAGAGGCACGTCAAACGTGTCAGTGCATGGTTGAAATAGTTATAACAGTGTTTATTATTCTGAAGCGTGCGATTTGAAAACGTTGCTGGATTTGTTTTTTTACATTCTGTGCGCAGTGGCGTGTCTGTTTTAACAGAGAGACAGATGGAAAGATGGACAGAAGGAGAAGAGAGGGACACAAAGCGGGAGACAGACACACTCACATTCACATAAGCCGACCCATTAATCTGTGCACTGCAGCCACACAATCACTGCATGGTTGGCTCTCTTTCTGCTCTCCGCACACACACTTCAACATTCACACACATAAACTCACAGCTAATTTGAATGCTGTGTAAGTACCCATATGGCAAAAACCACTCCCATCCGCCTCTGTTCAGCCGGCGCGGTTTGGTCTGTATGTCATTTGTTTGTGACCATGTTTCATTTAAATGAAGCGGCGAGCACAGCTAGAGTCATGGCAGTTTTTCCTGATTAGTGATGCGTCTGTGTTGGGCGGACTGGAGACAAAAGCCAGTGGCAGATGAGAAAAAAAAAGAAAAAAAAAGAGACACAGATCAAAGTCTCAGCGGAAACACAACACTGATAAGCTCACCTATGACTGGGCTACTGGTTATCAAAGAGTGTTACACACAGACAATATGAGATAATATACTGCAGGGCAGCAGCCAGGGAGAGATGAGACACACATCAGAAGGAGTGAGACGAAGGTCCTCACAGATATTGAAAAAGACAGATGAGTAGTCTAAAAGGCCAGATAGGAAACACACATAGTTAGCTCAAAAGGCAGACAGGAAGTCATAATAACGATGTTTCGAGTTAACTTTCTGTCGAGTGAATTTCATGCAAATGTAGGAACCTTGCAGAAAAATAAGGTGGCATTTGCATCAGCTGAGGTGATATAAAAATCTTCCTGAATGTCAAAACACATCCACAAGAAAAGTGTGCTAAAAAGCAGTGAGTTGTTTCTGGTCTTAATTGCGACAGCTCTTAAAGATGAATACATTAAACTCTAACTTGGCAATACCAAGAGCATAACTGACCTGTCTGGCAGACTGTGGGGGACAAATATATTACAGAGTGCCTCAAGCGACCTTTGAACTGTTGTACTACAAAAATGAACAAATCGTGACTTGACTGTGGGTGTTTTCTTATCAAACATTTTCATTAAAAAAAGCCCTGCTCACGAGGAATCAGACTAATGAGACAGACAGGACAACATTAACACAGACAGAGAGACAGGAGGACAAATAAGGGAGAGAGATCGCAACCACAGGGTGTTAAAATCCACTTACCTGCTGTATGAAATACCCAAGTCTTTTATTCAAATTTATTTAAATGTGTGACAAAAATAAACAATTTAAAGAATGGCTTGAGTGGTACACTTGTAGCCGCTTTGTTCCAGTTCAAATGGTGAAACCGGCTGTGAAGGTAAATAAATAAGTGTCCACAGCTACTGTCCCCTGAGCAGGACACTAAAGCTCTTAACTGCTCCAGTGGGGCTGAGTCAATTTTTTCG